ATGATTCACACATTTAAAAGAGACAGATAGACACAATGGCAGATAAAAGATAAGGTGAGTACTGTGGGAGTGGTGGAATATGACATACAGTGGGTTGATGGTAGTTTGAAGTCAGAAGTCAACTGCCGAATAATAGACTTTATTGCCGTAGAAGTATACGTTGCCCAGGGTGCACCACGTAGTAGTAAGATGAGTACTGTGAAGGGGTCGAATATGACAAATAGTCGGGCCATAGTAGTTTGAATTCGAGAAGTCAACTGGCGATCAATAGACTTTTTTGCCGTATAATCTGTGGATGGGGCCGAATATGACAAATAGTCGTGCCATAGTAGTTTGAAGTCACCGATCATTAGACTTATTTTGCCGTATGAGTATGCGTTGCCCAGGGTGCACCACGTTTTTGCCGTATGAATATACGTTGCCCAGGGTGCACCACGTGATTGCCGTAGAAGTATACGTTGCCCACAGCTTACACAGCCGAATGCAATAAGGTATAGTTATTTAATTTTAACTGTCAAGTTCCTCTGCTTATGTATGCCTTTCATATGGACTCACATAGGCCTATCAGACTAATAAATATTTACGTTATTACGAATGCTAATACTTCTGGACTCGACTTGGCCTTCTTCCGTCTGTTCGGTTGCTTCTTATGTTCTTCCTGGAAATCATTTAATTGAAATATCTCCAGTATCTCGTCTTTTCTCATCCCTTCATTCCGAGCCAGCCTGAATCAGCCCTATCCTAGTCCCTTCTCCAGCAGGATAAAAATATGGACGCAGCATGAACTTCCCTGTGTATATTGACCGCTTAACCGTAGATGTATTACCATATTCCTGTATTCATGTGACAAAAATACTCGTGTTTGAAATGAAATGGATTAACAAACAAAGCTCTGCAAATTTTGCGGCCCAACCGAGTCTGGAGTTAAAAGATAGATTTATTTGCGATTGAATTTGGGGAAGAGGTACCACCCACTTCTCTCCTCATGATCTTATTTAGAATGAAATATTGGCATATTAGTCCATGAACGCTAAGGTGAACATTGACATAGCACCATCCAATTGGGTCGGCCAGCAATCAGCATAGACAATCTGTTCATGTTCCATTCATAATCAGGGCTCAGCTGGAAAATAGGAAAACCGAAAGCTCGATCGACTATGCTTTCCTGCATCTTAGCAGATTAAAACCAATGCTTCGCAGACATGCTTCAAATGGCACGACAATTTGATGGTAAAATATTTAGTTTAATTTAATTTCGCACACCGATATTTACTTCATTATGATGTTGCTTTTTGGCAGTGATCACAAGATGTTTCTGATCAAGCAAAAGCAGCTAAGGTGAAACGGTTGATAATCTTTCATCGATCTGACTGAAGAATAACCAACAACCTCCTAAAAGTTCACTGTCGACCTTATTCCATTTCCATTTTATAAACTACAATACAATCAGGCCCAAAACTTTAAGAAAAAATAAGTCAAGAGAGTTTAAATTGTTTATTAAAATCGAAACACATACACAAACATGTCCAAACTGACAATTTGGACACATTTATTTTCTTCTTTAGCTCTTTAACTAAAAAGTAGAAAGGCATGCGGTTAGACTCAAAGAGTAACCTTGCGCATAATAATAAACAAGGGACTCACAATTCTATCAAAAGTAGCATCAAAAAGTCCCGATGACGCCTCTTGGATAGGATTCACTGGAGCAACTAGTCCTCGAGCAGTGTCATCGCCTGGAGAAGCCTTGCGTTTCAAACGATGCTGTGGAAATGACGGCATCATCTCTGGTTCACAAGCTTTATCGAGAGAGAACGAGAGACCAGTAGATAAAATATT